GGGGGGGTATGGAGGGGTGCCCCTGGTTCATGCAATGAGCTTGGCCAACACCAGCGAGGTGTGACTATGCAGTAAATACTGTAGGACCTACCTAAACACAGGAGAGCTGGGGAGGCAGCCAGGGAGAGGGCCCTTGGGGCTGGCTGTGCTGTCAACCCTTTCAAGTGGAATAGGAGGCCAGGCTGGATAATGACCCTTTAAAGCAAGGTGCCCCACCCCCCATCCAGGGTAAACAATCTCCAGGGCCTGGAACAGGACTCTGACTCAGGCACCAAACCTGCAGTGGGGGGAGGGCACCTTGGGGAAGGGGCAGGTGACCCCCTCCTCAGCAGCTAAATATACCCCTGACATTTACCGCTCTGCCAGACCCAGGGAATGGGGGATTCGCCAACCGCGGTCCCGCCACCCCCCCGCCCCCCCCCCCACCGCCGCCCCCCCCCCCCCCCCCCCCCCGTGGTAAACTGCCTGCAGCCCCAGGCTTCTACCCCAGCTCTGCCAGTGCTCTTCTATCTTGACCTGCCACCCCCTGCTAGCCCAGCCCCGGGGTCCCCCCAGCTCTGCCAGTGCCCCTCTATAGTGACCTGCCACCCTCTGCTAGCCCAGCCCCAGGATCCCCCCAGTTCTTCCAGTGCCCCTCAATCCCAACCCACTACCCCCTGCTAGCCCAGCCCTGGGCTTCCACCCCAACTCTGCTAGTGCCTCTCTATCCTGCCCCATTGCCTCCTACTAGCCCAGTCCTGGGCTCCCCCCAGCTCTGCCGATGCCCCTCAATCCCGCCCCACTGCCCCCTGCTAGCCCGGCCCCGGCTCCCCCCAGCTCTGCCAATGCCCCTCAATCCCACCCCACCACCTGCAGTGCCCCTCTATAGCGACCTGCCATCCTTTGCTAGCCCAGCCCTGGGCTTCCACCCCAACTCTGCCAGTGCCCCTCTATCCTGACCCACCTCTCCCTGCTATCCAGTCCCAGGCTCCCCCCAGTTCTTCTAGTGCCCCCCAATCCCACCCAGCTGCCCCCTGCTACCCAACTCCCCCAGTTCTTCCGGTGCCCCTCTATCCTGACCCACTTCTCCCTGCTAGCCCAGCCCCGGGCTCCCCCCCAGCTCTGCCAGTGCCCCTCAATCCCAACCTACAGCCCCTGTTATTCCAGGCCTGGGCTCCCATGAGTTGCCTTTGATTCAGATGGTCTCCCCCAGTGCCTGAGAAAGGAAAGGGGGTTGGGGTGATTCCATGGTCTCCCCCAGTGCCTGAGAGAGGAAAGGGGGTTGGGGTGATTCCAGGGGCTCCCCCAGTGCCTGAGAGAGGAAATGGGGCTGGGGTGATTCTGGGGGATCCTGAGCCAGGGGCAATGGGCAGTGGACCCTCTCTGCACCTTGAGCCCCATAAGCCAGGGCAGGGGGTGTCTCCAGCCTGACCAAGCTCCCCCTACCGGAGGGGTTCATTCAATGCCCCACTTCCCCCCCTCCCCACTCTGGGCCCTCCCTGGAGTAGGGGTGCTGGCCAGGGCTGCACCCACCTGCTGGCTGCTCCACAGGGCGGGCTGGTTCTGGGCTCTGTCCCCGTCTGTCCCGCTTTTTGTGTCACCGCCCTTGGCACAGCCCCCCCTCCCGGGGCAGCGCAGCCTATTTTTACCAGGAGAGGAACAGGTGCCACTTTCATTCATACTCCTCCACTCTGCCAGCTCCCCTGGTCCTCTGGGGGGGGCGGGGGTAGGGGGAGCTCCACTCTCCCAGGGTCACATAGGTGAGACCCCCTGGGACAAGCCTGAGGGGCTATGGGGGGACCTCACCACGCAGGAAGTGCAGCCACTAACTCTGGCAGGGGACCCTTGTGCTGAGAGGTAGCAAATGGGGGGTGAAGCAAAAGGACAAACAACCACAGGGGATCCCATCCTGACAGCACCTAGAGTCCCTCCGTTCTCCAGCTCAGGGTACTGCCCCTGCTCCAGGGGGCACCAGCCATCCAGCTTTGCACCCCAGGGCTGGAGCTAACAGAGCCATGGTGGGCTTCAAGGGGGACCACAGGGCATCTCCTCCTCTCTGCAATGCTGGGGTGCCCAAACACTGGGCAGGGTCCCCCTCCTGAGCCCGTGAGATGCAGGCGCTTGGCTGCTGGAGCATCAGGGATTTGGGGGTCACTCCCCACTGCCCAGGCAGCCAATCAGGAAGGAGACTGCCCCCCCCCACCCATCCTCGTGAATGTCTCTGTGGAGCATCCAGGCCACTCGATGTAGTACTGGTCTGTCCCCAGTGCAGCTCTGGGGCCTGGCACGCCAACCCAGCCAGATGCTGGGGTGCTAGGCAGTCACGTGGGCATCATCCATGGGGCAGAAGGAAAAGACGGGGTAGATCCCACCTAATCCAGGCCCCTGGGTGGCTTCCCTGCAGCCGTTCCCTGCCTCCCCTGGCATCTCAGGCTCAACTGTGCCACTGCCTCCCTTCTAAAGACAAAAGCTACGTGCTCTAGTGGGTAGAGCCAGGAACTGGGAGTCAGGAGATCTGGGTTCTGTCCTGATTCTGAGCTTGGGCAAGTCCCTGCCTCGTTCTGTGCCTCAATTTCCCC